CCCCAAAACCCCAAAACCCCAAAACCCCAAAACCCCATTAAATATAATTTGGGTAGAATAAATATAAGTATGAAGAGATCAAAGTTAGACAAGAATGTTCAGAGGTATCTTAACCACTCCGTTGATGATGCTGATAAGCAGAAGAATCTGGATAAGAAAGCCATTCATAATATACTAGAAAAATTTCAATCAGGTAAGAAAATAAGTTAGGGAATTATATGTTTGAATGATGTCATAACGGGTCTAGGTCATGCATTTAATATCATTGATGGGATGTACGAGGATCAATTAGGAGAGACAGATAAAAAGTTATGGAAGTGAGATAGATTGCTGAATGAGGGTAAACATTCGTCTAGAATTCCACAAGATATTGCAAATTTAAAAACAAGAAATTATGAAAATAGAGAAGAGAATCATATTAATACCTTAAACATAATTAATCAAGCAACATCCACCCCAAAAATCCCATCCAAGAAACTAAAATAAACATCTAAAGTCAAATAAAATGTCTAAAACACCAACAGCCTACTCTAAAACCCCAAAGCAATGCTCAAAATATCTCCAAAAATTATATCAGCCTTCAAATGCCAAACTAAACTCAGTAAGCCAATCCTACCACTCTTCACAACCCCTTAGAAGATACTCAGAACTTCATCTAAGCCATCTCCGAACACTACAATGCCCTCTATCATCAGTGACTCGGCTACTTTTAACCCTACGATCTCTTTCCTGCCATCACAGACCTCCTTCTGCTACTACAACTACAAGAAAAGAAATTTCATACATAAGAAAGGAACTCAAGATCCTAGACATAAGAAAAGGATGGTAGAAACACAGAGTAAGCCCAGGTCTTGACACACTAGGAGTACTTGATCAAGTCCTTGGCAGGGAGAGAGGTAGGAATGGGCAACAAGAGACCACTCATGATAGAAGTTTGGCTCTATTTTTCATCAATCTAGTGACTCTACCTCTTAATATCCATACCAAATCCACTATTTCTAATGAAAAATCACACAAGAAAATGAATAAGGGCTTTCTCAAGAAGGGTCAGAAATCTAGCAGAGCCAGTAAATTTGTAGCCTAGTTTTAGAAAAGACGTCAAGGCATAAAGAAATAGGGGAAGATTCTGCACTCAAAAAGAGTATCGAAAGCATTTCAAACTCTCTCCCGCCAGAAGAGATTAACGAAGTAGGCCTTTCACTTATAAATAGCGATCGAAGCTTACAGAACTCAAGAAGAAAGCTAAATCTAACACAAAATCAACAGGAGTGGTACTGAGAGGTGTGGCTAAGGTATGGGCTAGGTAACTTTTAGCCTCGAAAAATTCAATCAGTAAGATACCAAAATACCCTCAGATCTTGAAATGTGTCTTCTGGGGGAAATAAGATGGATGCAGTCATGAAGGATCGTATCAAGTCTAAAATGACTCTTCCTATATCACAAAATCATCGTAAGTAAACTCTGACCAGTAGAACATAGAGGTATCTCCGGTATTGAAGAGTTTCTCAAGATGTCAAAACGGATAAACTCTAGTAAATTTATAACCAAGTCACGAATCTTGGTAAATTCCTTTCTAAATCAACAGAAATTAGGTACTCAGAGTACCTCTCCAAACAATAAGACCTGAAACAAAGAAGAGCTAACAGGGATAACCGAATACAGAACTCTGAAATCACAAAAATAGAAGTCTGAATGAAATTGAAAGGTCACACTTAGAAAAGAATAAAGTCTTCTGCCAAAGGAAAAGTCGAGAAGTTCAGCGTATTCAGGGTAGGAAATCAGATATATTCTAGACATGTGAAAAGCCATTGAAGGTGGAGATCAGCCATTGAAGAGTAGGATTACCAAACAGATGATACTGGGTAAGAACTCTCACCTGTAGTCATGCTCTAAAATTTCTAATACATAGAGGGACACAGACAAGATAAATTGAATGCAACAATGAATATCATCTCTAAACTTGAAGGCACCCCAGCCTTTCTTTTAAAGAAATTTTATGATTATCGAGTTGAAACTCTAGAACAAGAGAAAGAGTTTGCACAAACTGTCCGGCAACAATACAAATCAAGCATTGCAGATCCGAGTAGGCCTGTTGCTCTCAAAGAAAAGGAGACAAAGAACATAGCTGAGAAGGTGCCTAAATTTATTGAAATACTAGAGGCATCGCCTGAAAATCTTTATTAAATTTAGGATAAAATCTTGGGGTTTTGGGGTTTTGGGGTTTTGGGGTTTTGGGG